CCTGGAGTACACCAGCTATCCTAGTTCATGCCTGGTGTGATCACAATCCACCTTTCCCACTCCGTGAAGGACAGAGGGGCTCAATGATTGAATGCAGTCTGGGTCAGGTTTCCATTCCCAAATATTTTAGACCTCAAGCAGACTAACCGGTGTAGACACCTGGCTATTAGCTCTTTCCCAGTGTCTATTGTACTAATTAATACTCAATAATTTAAAAAATAGTTTAACCATTAATAATAAAAGGAGAAAAAACCTTTTTATGATTTAACCTGATTTCTGATTTTCTGTCTGACATTTCCCCAGAATGATCACCCAGGGTAACGGCCTATTGCACATTCAGTCTGCAATTAATGTATAGGAAATGCATAGTTTGTTTGTTTTGTTGTGGGGTTTTTTTAATTAAAAAAAAAAAAAAAAGGTTTAATTATGTTGCAGGGAAATCAAGAGCATTGTCACAAATACCAGTGAGAAACCTATTAACTAAATATAAGTCTCTCAGATCCATGCAACCAGATTCTGGAATCAGTGTCTCCAGTGACCTTTTCTCCCCCATCTCTCCCTTTCCTCCACATCAGCTTTCAGTGCAGAACCTCAACAGAATGAAATACGCCCATGAGAAGCCATCTTTCTGCTTCCAGCTGCAAGCTCCCATCACCTGTCTTGGAACAGAACTTGGTCATAGTCTTGCATTTTCAGTCAGATGATCCCACCCATCTGGTTGAAACATTAACTTATAAAAGAGTAAAATAAATTTTCAGGTTTTGATTCATCTGGCAACACAGCTTTACAACTGCTATTGCTGGTACAAGTGAAGCAGAAGCAAGAGACAACTGAAAAAGGAAGGACAGATCTATTCTTTTCATTGACTGAAACCACTTGGGGAGCAAGCTCATGGTATGGACCAATGCAGAGCCTGGAGAATATTCTGCCTGTCCCCATGAGTCAGTCTCCCCACAGTACTTTCCACTGGGGCATGTGGACATTCACTGAGCTTTTTACAAACGGAAGCACAGCAATTTTTTCTAATTCATGGCATTGTATTCTTTAGCTGAGGAATTCTACATTAGTTTCTATTTTCTATATCTATTATAATGACTAAAAAATACAGTATTATTTCACAAACATAAAAGATCATGTTTATGTATAACTGAGAGGAACTACAATGAATTAAAAAACAATTATATTAACAATTATTTTTAAAGAATTAAACTAGATGTATTTGCACTAATTCTCAGGTATTTGGAAACAGTAAACTGAAATGATGACTGATGCAATTAAACAAAACATATCTCACTTTAGTCAGATAGGTATTTAAATCCAGACTCCTCTTGTTGGGCTTTCAACTGAAAGGTCAAAAGTGTTCACAAATTACATATATCAATTTTAAACAAATCTTTTAATACCATAGCAAATAAGCATCAGAAAATTATAAAAACCATGTTGGAGGTGATACTTCTTCAAAGTCTTACACAATCTGATGTCTCTGAATGTCAGAAAATCAGATAAGGTTAAAGCCTTTGAAGCACATCAACATGTGAATATAAAATACGTTACCCAGAGCTCATGCTTGAGTTACACTGCCACTACATAAAACAGATTCATTCAGACACAGAAGACATGCACTGAAGATCAGTGAGGTACAATCACAGACAAAACCTTACCAGAAAATAACACACTGAGCTGTACTCACTACTAAAACAGACAAGTGGCGAACAGTAATACAGAAATATCAAGGAAAGGTCTCTTTTTTGAAAAATCATTTTTCAGGAGATGCCTAAGATAGGTGCAGTATAAAACAGTTTCCCCAGATTTTTTCACCTCTCCACCTTTGTGGCAATTTCTCCTCTTATGTCCCTCTCTTTCAGCAAGAAAACTTCTTATTGAAGAGGCTCTGGCTCACATCCTTAATGTTCAATCATTTGAGTACTGAACACTCATTATTGAAATTAGTGCAAATTAAGCATATGTTAATGGCATCAATTCAGGATAGCATCACTCTTTACGACAGCACATAAGCATATGATTTTCTGAATTCTAGTCTAATTACAGTACTGATTAGGAATAGGTTTAAGCATGTGCTTAAACAGTAACGGTCAGTATAATAGGACTCCAAATTCTGTGATCCCAGCTATTAGTAAACGAACTTTTATCCAGGTAGGTTTGAAAAATGATTGCAGCACCTAAGTCCAAGTAAGTATAATCTCTGTTTCTTGCCATTTGTTCAAGTATGACTTAAATTTCTTGGAATCAAGTGTTTACATGCAGACTAGAAAGAAACACATAGGACTAAAATAACACATTTATTGCATGCCATGTTACAGTTCACTGCATTCCCATTTGTATTTGCACTCACAGTACTATGGGAAACTAAAATTATTTCATCAGAAACAAATGAAGTACACAGAAAAGTTTGTCAACAGACAGAAGCAAGTGTATCCATAAGCCAAACAGCCATAACATTCAATAGGTTTAATACTCCATGACATTGTTTCATAGAAATTAGAGATGAAAGACTTCTTATCCATCCCTTGCCAATTCTAGATGTTTTCTGTTCTCCAATTCAGTCACTGGAGGCTGATTGGCAACTGACAACAACATGAATAGAAAAAGCTAACTAGATGTGCCAGAGGACAGCAGGCTGTGAAATTTGTATTTCCTCTAGTGAAGTGCCAAGTTCTTTCAGGTTCCTTTTGTTTAAAGGTGAATTAATGAAACTCCGGAGCTCACAAAATCTGGGCCTTGCGTTGTATAGCAAGCAGACTGCTTTTCAAGTACACATCTAACATACTGCTGCTGAAGCCACCTTTATTCCTCCTACAGAGGAATGTGTTTAGTGTGCTGTCAAAAAGCATCAAACTGCACTATGGAATTAAAACTGACACATTTCCATTGTACTGAACATTTTCGGAAAAAGAGACTCTAAAAAGACAATAAACTATCGCAGAACAGTGATGTCGATGGTGCCGCACTTCTACGCTCAGTCTAACAGTCGGAAGTTGGTGCTCAGAAAAGTCATGTAATGAATAATGTCAGCCAACCTTGACCGCAGGCTTTCAGATTCTTTCGACCATCTTCTTATTTCATCAGCTAAATACTGAAATAAAGTTCACATTAAATGGGATATTCTCTGTCACACTTTCTTCCAGAATCACTGTACATAGTCTTGTATTCTCTATTAAATTTCAGGGCTGAACACTGCTGTAACATTTCATCTGAAATATGTATTGCATATCATATCTTATGATGTCTGGTACCAACTTGAATATAAAAATACATTAATCTTTTCTGAGAAATTCAGAGGAGGATGCACGTTCAACAGAAATATCGGGGGGGTGGGGTGGGGGATATCCCATCATGTATCATTTTCTATTATTAGCCATTAATCATGTCTTTATCTCCAGTACTGAACATCCCTACCTACAGCCAAATGCTTATCCTATTAATCCTCTTTAAAGATCTTAAGGTCTTCTGTGTAATTCTGACTTTTACTTAATACATATCTTAATTTTACAGTGATTTTTGCAAGCTCATTTGAGACCAGTTTCTTTTTGAGAAAGTAGGAAAGACTGTACTTTTCCATATTGAAGACAATGGGTTTAAAAATAGAAATGAGATACTAAATGCTGCGAGCCAGCAATTGACAACATAGAGAAGTCAGTCCAGAGAGGCTACTACTGAAGAATTGCTACCAAAGTAAACAGAAGCTCTGACCACAGAAAGGCTGGAGAACTGGTCCTGTGACTTTTTTGAGGGTTACATCCCATCTCGGAGAAAGATCTGCAATGCATAAGGATTATTTTAACTTCTCTGCCCTCCAACAGGGCTTTTCCATTAGAAACAAACAAATCTCAAGGAGTCAATTACACAGCGATCCATAACACAGGCTCAGTAAATTCACAGCATTTGGCTTTGGCTCAGTAAGTAGCAAATCCAGTAACAAGGGGAAACTACAAAATCATACTGTATGCAAGGTGGAGCAGGTCACGCGCTACACTCTTAGAGCTGGAGATTCAACATAGTGGCTTTGAATACAATGACTGTAGCACTGTTACAGGTTTGCCAAACTCTGATGATATAAATTCTACTGAATGTAGTTATGACTTTTTCTCTGGCTCAGAGTATGAATCAGATAAAGGAGAGGGGAATGGGGAGGATGTGAAGAGCATCATGCTTAATGGCCAGAATCTCAGCCAGCATCAGTCTGGTTTCCATGAAATGAGTAAGAAACGGAAGCTGGGTAGGAATTTTTGTTGTAGCCCTCTTGGAGAACTTTAGGGAACTCACAACAATGAAGCAATGGCAGAAGAAGCACAGACATGAACAAATCCAAGGTTGAAAGCCAAAAGCCTACATCCATGGTCAGGATAAGACAAGCTCAGAACTACCCTTGGGTTTTTTGTGACATATCCATTTCTCACTGCTCTAATCTTTGCATTCTGGATAAATCTGAATGTGATTAATTATGACTTAATCATCCTTTTAACATACTGCAGAGAACAAATGGCTAGTTGAAAAATAGAAATGTTCCATTTCAACTTTTTTAAATCAGGGATTAATTAAATCATCATTTTATGGATGAAGTTGACAGGAATAACTAATCTCATTTGATTAAGGCTTTCTTTATAAAGGTGTAAGAGATGCTACAAAATTCATCTGCATTATCATTTAGGATTAAAATTGAAAACTTACGTAGAACTCTCCAGTTAAAGAACATAGCCTCTTGACTCTGCATTTTGTTAGAGCTGGACAACAATATGTGTGTGTTCAGGCAAGTTAAATCTTAGGGATATTTATTTTTAAATTTTCTCTTCAAAATACCAATATTGGTTCTATAGTTGATCACAAGAGGGAGACTATACCACCATATTTCCTCTCATTGCTTCAAATTTTTAAAGCATCCAATCTGAGTAATTTTGGACCAGATATATTCTTTGATCACTGAAAAGTGTTAATGACTGTTCAATTAGCATTTTTTTCTGAGTTTGTCAAATCTCTGAAATTTATAGATAAAGATAGCCAATCCAGTAAACAAGATTGAACAATGCAAAGGCAGTTGGAAAGAAAATGCGAGAATAGGAGTCAATTTTTGCAATACGGATGTGTATTCTTCCTTCTCTCCAGGATCCTGTGCGGCAGTCTTCAAAACAACAAAAGAAGCTAGCACAGTCTTTCCCTTCTAGGCATTCATAGCCATAATCATCATCACGTTCAGGGAGATGATTAATGTTATTAATTGGAATTAGTGTTGATCCAGGACGAACAGCAATTGCAGGTGGTTTCTTAAGAAAAACAAAAAAGAAAAATATAGTTTTGCAGATTCTTTTATCCTCACATTAAATAATTCCATAGGGTTTCCATAGCAAAGGCCAGTACATGCACCTTCAGTACAATATACAGACATTCTAATATTAAAGAAAAGAGTTTGAGGAGCTTTGCGAATTATGAACTGCTGTATATAATTATCTCATGCAGGCAAAAGATCACGAATGATTTTCACCTGCCACAGTGAAAATTGGGTTGTGCTGGGATTTGGGAATAGTGGATAATTAGTTACACAGACAGGGTTAGCTGATCCCATCTACACAACACGAATGAACATTTTGAAGTCAGTCACAGCTTGACAACTGGGTCACAAGCAAGTCCACAAGCAGGCCATAAGCATCACTACCAAGGGAATGATCACCTCCCTCCCATCATTTCGAGTCTTTAGAATGAGACTGTATGTGTTCCTGGAAGCTACATTTTCACCACAAAAAAGGCTAATGGGATTAGTACAGCATCACAGGTGAAGTTTAAGAAACTGAGATACATAAGGCCAGACTATGTCACATAACCCTCTGATATCAAAACCCTAAACAATATGTCTCACCTTTAGAAACCAAGACATAAGACTCCTTAGGAGAATGCCATTCAAGTCAGTGAAACTGGTTAATTCAGGTCCTAATTCTTACTTTTACTTTCCATGGGCATAACTCAACCCTCCTGCAATCTGGGAAAACCTCAGTGTAGTAGATGTTAAGGTTCATAAATAATTTTTGTAGAAAAATCCTCGATGTAGTACATATACTGTTTGCTATTCCCTTTCTTGCAACTTTTGCCCTTTCACCTTCCTTTTCCTTGCACTACCACAGTCCATCTTTCCTCTTTTTATTATTTTGTTCCCATGCAGTTCTTCACTCTTCATCCTTGTTTTCCTGAATATTTCAAAAGACATTCTCTTTCTCTATCTGTCCTTTTTTCTCTTTCTAAATCTAAATTACTCTGTAATCCTCTTTCTTTCAAGCTCCCCACCCCCACCTTTGGCATGTTTTTGAAAATCTTCACACTGGAGATAGGGGTTACATCAACACTGCTCTTACATTGTCTTCTTTCCTTTCTACCATCTCCAAATTTGTCATGTAAGGAATAAATACAGCAGGAAAGCAGGAAAGGATGCAGTCAGAAGAACTAACTGGGTATTGAAGTGTAGAGAGGAATCTCTCTTAAACAATTATACATGATAGGCAATGAAAAATATACGAAAAGCAGGAAGCCACATAGTTTAGTTTCTTGTTATGTTTTAGAGTCCTGTTGTCCCACTTCCAGGGGATTACTTAGGCCAGTACACAGATCTCTATACATTGTTAAGGAGGCACTCTATTGCTGTAGGGATGTTTTACCCAGTGTCCCAAGGGATGGTGTTAAAGCAGGGCAGTATCCACCACATTTTCAAATAGCTTTATTTAATAAGTGTCTTTACCAGAGGAAGTTTCACACAGACTGCTGTTTCAACACTTTTTAGACAGGATGACCTAGGGAGCTAATTATCATCCTAAAGGACCTCATTATTCAGTTCAGTTATGAAAAAATACTGACAATACTAACAAATAGCAGTTACATACTTCTACCCTAATTTGAGGCATTACAAACAGGCCTTATTTTTATAAAACATATAAAGTAAGTTCAATTTTTTTTTTCTTTTAAACTTCCAAAATCATTATTTTCTTTAACCTATATAAGGAAAGATGCTTATTTCTGATTCACACCTGCTCTGTCTTTACAAGAATTTTCTGACTGTTGGTTCTGCCAATGTAAGATTCATGGCATGATTCCTTTCTACTAGTGGGGAATCCCCAACTCAGAAACACCGTGGGAGCAGGAAAAAATAACAGCCTTGCTTTTCACTGCTTGTGTCACCAGCACAGACTGAAACTGGCTACTGAATTACAGGTTTGAAGAGGTGGCCTGAGAGAGGCAGAAATACAGTGTCATCCTATAGGCCTAACTACCTACAGGGAATACATAATGCGTGTGTAAGAAAGAGACAACGTGAGGGAAAAGGGGAAAAAAGACCAACACCTCTCAAGAAAACGACCTTATATCAGCTAACAGAGCCTTTAAAAAAAAAGAAAGTAGATACAGTAGTATATGCGTATTATTTATGTAGATGCCTACTGATCTTGTAGATAAAACTCCACATAGAGTGAGAAACATTTATGATACACTCTGATGGGACCAAAACCAAATTATTCTGCATTAACACTAATACATGTATGAAAGAAAGCCATCATCTGTGGAGATTATAGCACAGGTGATGCGTTTACTTCAGGTGAAATGATGATCAGCACAAGATCCACACTAATTAAGCTTAAGATTTCCTGCCCAAATGCATTATCTTTCCTAATGTGGATTTACATAAGCCAATTCATACTACCTTTCTTGAATTATGCCAGCACATATTTTTTTAAGATAAAACTGCTGTAATCACCTGTAAAATCTCATCATTTTTCCACAAGTTCATTTATTGTACCTTTTTGGCATGAGTTCCTGGAATAATAAGCTTTTTTTGCATTTTGCAATAGAAATGGAAGACGTATGCAAGGCAAGTTTTCCAAGGAAAAAACACCTGTAAATGAGAACTTTTCAGAAGGAATTAAACTGTTTTAATTAAATTACTTTTTAGTTACATATCCATAACTACAAGAAAAAAAGAATGAATAGAAGTCTTTGACAAAAATACAGGAAGGTGGTAGAAAAAAAGAAAAAAACCCTGTGGATTTGTAATTGTACGACTTCCCATTAATTAATCAGATAGCTTCTTTAATTGTTCTATTTGGAACAAGAAATTTTATAGCTTTTTATAAAACATTACGAAAAAACACCTATCTGTCAAGTTAGAATCCTTGCATCTAAGTATATTAAATTTAATCCCACCCTTCTTTTAGAGCAATGTCTTATCTAGTACAGTCTTGCAGCCATAACATGCTGAAACATGTTTAAAGAATTCTGTGTGAAAAGATGGTTGTTTTTCAACTAATTTTAGAAACAGAAAGCATGTTTTAAAAACACAGTAAAACACAACTTAACAGTGTTTTCAGTATTATATTACTAATTTTAATCGTAGTCCAAACTCCATCTACTTATTCAATAAGTGCCATAGTTTTCTATCTTACCGTTATTCTACATTTTAAATAGTCATATGCCCTGAAAACCTCAAAGCATGCGGCAGGTTATTGCACAAATGGCTGATATGCGAACAGATTCTGTAAAGTCTCGTTACTCCATTCAAAAGAGCATACTTGCCAACCAATTCAATGGCTTTTGATTTGCCAGTAGCTGATCTTTATTATCTCCCTGGTTTGAATAAGCCATATTTCCTCTCCTCTTCCTTTTCTCCTTGTTGTGCACGCTGAGAGCAGACCTACTTCAGCTCTCTGTTCCCTAAATGCCATTGAGACCTCATTGCAAGAACAAACTAAAATTGAATGTGGTACGCTAACATTGAGAAGTCCCCCAAACTCTGCAGCCTCTGTTATCTTTCACCCTCATTACTCAGCTGTGGCCCTTGCCAAAGCCTGTTTTCCATACTCTCCATTGTGCCTACATTTGCTTCTACCACTAACAGTAAGGAAGTCTGAGGTTTCCATTTTCCAGTTCTCTTGGCTGTGCTGGATTCCCTGAGGATCACAGCGATGTCCAACCAAGGCAGCACAGAACAGTATTAACCCTTCACTGCTAGCCTTTTCTTAAATACACAACTGATCCACTTGGACCAGCTCACCATATGAAAAATAAGGGCTCTCATTTACCTGGCATTAAGCCACAGCAGCCCCATAGTGCCCCCCATAAGACAGTCTCCCACTACAGCGCCACTCAAAATGGGTGAGCAAGTGCTTTCTGACACTAGTCACAGAATGGGTACAGTTCATAACAGGACATCTGCATTTCCATATCTGGGCTTCTGTAGTTTCATTTCAGTTTCTGTTTGATCTTACACAGGTGGAATTCAGTCTTCACCCAGAAAAGACAACTGAGATTATGATTCATAAACTATGCTCCAGAATGATCATGATGAAATGATCTTTATAACATACGGCTTTATAACATTGTCCTTTCTCTTATTGTTTCCAAAAGATGACTACAATCAAGCTTCAGATATTATGACTAGTATTTGAATGAATAATCTATTTAACACCTTTACCTCAATGTTTTATTAGTTTAAAGATTAGCTTTAAATATTTGTACTGGCTTCCAACAATAGATTCTTTGGAAGTTCCAGTGTTCTTACTACACAAACAGAAGGCCTCTTAAAATTGAATACTTGTTCCTGGGATATGTGGGGATTCATACCATACAAACGCCAACTTGTAAAAGCAGAAGGTTCGCTTTACCAGAAAGAAATATGGAAGTAAATGAAAAAAAAATGAGTTAAAGTAGAATTTCTGAAGTGGAAGAATGTCAGAATACTGACCAGTAACAAGCACTTTTTCCTTTGCAAAGCTAGTGACGTAAGACCCAAGTTAGGTGATGCAGACGCAAACAAATCCTCATACCTTCAGTCTATTTACGTTACCTCTACTGCTACAGTTTTATCTACAGTTCTCTGCCAGGTGCTGTTTTCAGAAGCACTGCACCCAGACAGAACTGTCTCCATGGGCACACTCCACAGGCAGCTCTAGAAGCACCAAGGGCTTGGGCATGGTGTGGAAGCATGGAACGTTATATCAAACTGCTCTCTAGCTTAGGTTGGTGTGTTCTGATTAACGATCTTTGTTCATTAGTAGTATTTACAGAAAATTAGTATAAGCCCCCAGCTGTAAAAAAATTATAAAATAATTATTAGTGTTAATTATCTTGGAACATTAGCCCTTCTACTTAAGAACCAGTGTCTCAAAATTAACGCTAAAACAAAGAGCATTCTGTATTTTTTCTTATTATTATTTGGCTAAACTTACTGATGGCTTAGATTTTGCCTTCTTTTCTTTTCCTTTGTCCCCTTTTCTGTTGCTGGTAAAGTAATGCAAGGTGCCATACTCCATCAAGGCAGCAAACACAAAAATGAAGCAAACTGAAACAAAAAGGTCCATTGCTGTCACATAGGAAACCTTTGGGAGTGACTTCCTAGCAATTGTACTCAACGTTGTCATGGTCAGCACCGTTGTAATGCCTGATTGAGAAAGCAAGCAAAAAAGACAGGAAGAGGGAAGTGCATAAGAATCATATTGTCACAAAAAAAAATCTCAAATTAGCCCTTAATTCATTCATGAGGCATATAATAACTGAGCCACAGCAGTGTTCACCACTGATCACACCCACATACATAGGTGCTATTGCAAGAAGCCATCCCTATGGATCCAGTGGTCACCGTGTGATCATACAGAAGGCAGAGCATTTCACCTTCAGTTTAAATACTTCCCATTTTCAACACACACTGAATAAACAATGACATCAAGAAAGTTTGTGTAATTTTATAAATGTGTTACAGAATGCACACATAAAACAAATACAATAGACAAACAGGTACAAATAAGCACACATTTTATAAACACAAAAAAGTCCTTTGTCTCTTGAAAGATTAAAATGTACAAAAGGACACATTCAGAAAAAAAAAAAGTGTGTTATTTATCAATGATTTCAAATTCTCAAAAAACATAAGAAAAAGGAATAATGTTTTCAAAGGTTTGCTTCAAAAGTGTAGCAGATCAAACTAGATGACCTTCACGGCTTTTCCAGTCTCATTCTTTAAGTTATCAGGTATTTTTTCAATGCTGTATCTTAAGTAATAGAAAATGTTTCCCTTGATTCACTTATGTACAAGTTAATTAAGAGAACAAGCTGGCCTTAATAGCGATGTGTTCAGAGTCTCAACTACAGCACTTTTCACTGGTTTAACATTTAGAAGGTGTTAACTCTTCTTATATTTGATGCTTCAGGGAGATGCAAAGCCTTTTTCATAGTAGTCCAAAATTAAGATGCGACCTTTCCTTTGGAGACCAATACTTGAACACACAAATAATTTGTTATTTACATGCATAGGCCTATTGCAAAACATATGTTACAGCAGTCTAAGGCTGTCTATGGCTTTTAAATCAAAGCATGGAATCAGGGGTCGCTATGGACTGATCCTGCAGCAGGAAAACGGTAGTGCTTTGCAGTAGATCTCCCAATGAAATTACACGCCTAAAAGGGCAAACAGAGTTTTTCAAAAGCCCTTCACTCCCACTAGACACTTTTAAAAATCAATTAGACATTTCTCTGCATAGTTAAACGTCTAAATATCTTTAATCATCACAAACCTTTTGCTTTGGGAAACCAGGATCTTTGCCTGCAAGGATCTTTTAACATACTCTGAAGCAAAAGGCCCAAGCCTTTTCAGTGTACCAGATCCCAGCACAGCCTCCAGGTGGGAAGTCACACCCACTATTCCCTTTACTGACTTCTGTTCAGAGACAACGAAAGAAGACGGGGACTTTCCCAGTCCTCTCCACTATGTGAAAGGCATACAAAGGGCTGTCACAGGGAGAAAACCTTCCACAGCATTGCAACTGCTTGCCACGATGGACCTTGCTTAGTTTTAGCTTTCTTGTCTTCATTTCTTGGTCTTTTTCTATAAAAATGTGTCTATTTGACTGGTATTCTCTGTCTTCTTCACCAGAACATCTGTATGTGAGAAAAGCCATCCTACAATCTCTCAAGAGATGGCTTCTGCATGTTCTCACAATAGATACTCAGTTAAATGCAGGGAGCTGTAAATATGACACAGCAAACATTTGTAGTACATCTCAAGTAGATGAAGGTTAGTATTGCTAAAGTGGGAGCCTGACATCAAAGGCAAATTTGCTAGGTTCATGGCATAGAAAAAATACCCTATAAAAAGAACAAACTGGATACAGAACTAGCAGGATACTAATACAACACTTTTTCCTGTTATAGCTAGCGTCTTTCTAGACAGTATCCACAAAGATCTCCAATGATTAGTCAGTCAAAGAAATCTAATAATAAATTTCTAAATCAAGATTTTAAAACTATCAAGACATAGTTTCACTTACTTACTAAAATTTTAGGACCTCTCCACTCAACTTTGCAGTACTTCTAAATATCATGAAGTTAAGATCCAAGACAGATTTTCTTCCCTTACCTTTTTCATTAGGCTACTGAGCCATGCTCATTTTTGCTTAATTTCTTTCTTGAGTCACTAATCTTGCAGTCTTGACTGTACGGTGGTCCAGTTTCAGTGGGAAAGGCAGGGAACAAAGCCTGGACTCACCCTTCTGGTAGGAGACTCTGGTAACATGGGAATGATGTGTCCACAATCCTAGAAGCTGATGGGGAAAATTGACTCCCATCTCTTACTTCCTAAGATATACTCTCAGCTCTTGATCTTCCCCCCAGAACAGGTCATACTGCTGTCACCAGTTTTACTAAAAGCACCTGTCACTGCTAAGGTCAAAGTTGCTAGCATGCATCCTATGCACTCCACGCACCCCTGCCTATCATGCTTTATGCGGGGTCTATGACTCTTCTCCAAGTCAGTGCATGAATCCTAAACAGTCAAACACAGGAGGCTAACACCATGCTAAACAGGTCAGCCAAGATTACAGTAAAACAGTTATCTCTCTAGCAGAATTTGCAACACACTTCTGTACTGTCTGTAGTAAAAGCAGGACAGTGAGTCAGTTTTTGCCAGTTATATGCTTAACTCTTGATGTGCAACTTTTGTTGCAAATTTTCTGTCCTATCCTGGCCTTAAAACAACAACTGAATCATTTCTATTATTAGAAAAATCACCACCACCACAAAAAACAACAACAAAAAAAAACCAAAACAAAAACCAGATCTTCACAGCTTTCGCCTGTGTAGTAATGACATCCTTTGTTCCATGATGCTAAGTGAAGTTTAAACATACTTGTCAAACTAATGATCACCATATTGCCGTCCCTGGAGATGACAAAAAGAATATATAGGAGAAAAAAATGTATTTATGTCAACAACAGCAGATCCACAATGCTTGGATCAGGATCTCCAGATTTCCATTCTCAACACTCCCTCCTTAAGCTCTGCTGTGCAACTACAGCAGGATCCTCCTACTCTTAATCTTGCAGTTCAAGAGAAAGCGTGACCAATGGTCACAATCTGAAGGGGAATAAACTGTGGTTAACTTACTCCCTGGTGCAGATTTGTATTCCTGGGGAGTACCAGACCCTTCAAGGTTGAAAAAAGACATCCTTACCCAGAGAAGTCCTTGCAGGAACTGCATCCTTATTGATCCAAAATGACACCCACGAAAGAACAACTGTGAGTATACAAGGAATATATGTCTGAATGGTAAAATATCCCATACGTCTGCTGAGATCAAAGAAGATTGTCATAATAATATAATCACCTATAAATTAAAAAAAGAAAAAAATACTTACAGGACACTGAAAACAGTTTTCAGTCGTATCTTCATCTGATAGTCTTGTTCTACATAGATATTACATGAAATAAAACTTAACACTTTGTCTTACCAGACAAGGTATGAGAAATTTCAGTTGTATTTCGTAACCCTACGAATGCAAACTGATACAATCTCCAGTATTTTGGATCTGCCACTTCAACAGAGGTTTTCTTCCATTTGTATTCAATTTCATTTCTGGGATATCCATCTAGTATAAGACAAAGAAAATTAAGCATTCAGCCACAGTACCTACCAAAACATGTTTTGTAGTCTCTGAAGTTTTTTATAAACTAAACCAGGGCTATACATAAAGTGGATCAGAGAGAAAGCAAATCTATAGCCACCTGATACACTTAAAATTTAACCACAAAATACCTAGCCTCAGTTTTCAGACTAGCTAAATGTATGATTGATAAAAAAACTATGTAAATACAAATGTTTAGGAAACAGCTACACAATATTCTGGAACTCAGATATGAAAAACTGGCTCAGAAGCATCACTACAAATTAATACAGAAATGTAATATACATTGTCATCAAAGGACCACAAGAGCTTAAAAGGACAAGCACTTATTAGTATATAATTTGACAAAATTCCTATTGATGTTTATTGAAAATTTCTTTGGCTATTATTCCCGGAATGGATTTTTGTGGCCTGATTCACTGTCCAATACTTCAGCTTTAAGGAAGTGCAACCTTCTCAATTTTCATGTGCCTCACATGTTACCCCACATTACCACATTATCTTGCAGAAAGGCAGAAACAAAATGAAGTAAGACTCGCTTGTGTGGCACAACTACTTAATCAATGGACCTACCAAAGCTCATTTAGCTGGAAGCACTCAAGAAGGAACTATTAAATGAAAACATTAATTTTAAAAGAGCCACTGAATTTTTATTTCACTGCTTATTAGCTTTCACATTTAGGAATAAGTCATTTAGCTGTGTTCAGGTGGTTTGGGTTTCTTTTGCCAGTAATAGCACAATTCCCTTAGGAACATTTTTGGGTTTTTTCTTAAATAAACTTTACATTAAAGAAATTAAGCCTGAAAATTGTGTTTCTTGCTCACATAAATAAGTCCTACTGAAAGGAGAGAGACTTCTTCTACTGATTAAGCATTTACAGGAACAGGTTGAAGAAGACAGATCTTATTTTTCCTTTCAAGTATGTCACATGGAACTAATTCAAAGCTGGCAAGTCTGGCAGGCATAAAAAATAAAGTTCTTCCAGGGCAATAAATTTCCATTAACAACTGGAATGGGCATTGTATCAGACTCCTAAACAATAATATTATTTTTAAAGTTGCACCTAAATTAAATGCACATAATTCAACTCATTCATTACTGCATTTAATAATGCATTAAATAATGCAATAAATCTAATCAAAACATAAACAGGTCAGTTCTTTCCTTCACTACAAGGCTTTAAAAAGTAAACATTTGCTCTCATGCTGCCAGAATTTAAGGAAATTTAAAGCCTGAATGTAAAGAGAAAAAAATAGAATTTTACCACCTACAGCTTGAAAACTCCAGCGGACAGGAGTGTTCATCCATAGGAAAGTTATGAAGCTGAAGGTAACATTCAGCATTAATTGTCAGCCTAATTAGAAAAGGAAGGGGAGGAAAAAAAAAAAAGAAAAAATATTATATTCAAGCATCCAGACACTTCAGACAAGATAGTAAAAAACATTCACAGAAATCAATTTTGTCAATTAATGGATGTTACGCCTAGACAACTGTGTATCTGCAAAAAACATTCAGCATCACCACCAAAGAACACTATCTTGTGCAACCTGAGGACCTGCATTTTTTCAATTGGCATTTCAAGCCACTTCAAAAATTTCAATTAATTTGGGGCAATCTCTCTTCTCTCTACCAGAAATCAGGAATAAAAGGGAGGGACTGAAGGCAGGAGAAAGAGGGGAGTTTATGGTGGCTAACAAAGGAAGTTTCTGAAAAATGCATTTGTCAAGTCAAATTGCATTTGGCATCATTGTATCTGGTGGCCATATACATGAGAGAGAAAGTGGGGATACTCTGGGTCTTGCTCTGTACTCATGAAAGCAGCTCTGGTGAAGACAGTAGCATGGCTAGGAAAAAGAAGACTTGTTATTTCTACTCATTTAATGTCTAAGGCACTCAAGTAATTCATGCAGCTAATACATATTTTAGAAGTAGTTTAGGACTTGTAATAGTATCAATTGAATCACTTTCTGCTTTTGAAAATACTATCGCAGATTTCCAAAGAGCTTCCAAGCATCCAATGGGCTAGACTCCAAACTGCCTGCTTTGCATTTAAAATATCTCCTTCTTCGTTGGTAACACTGTGAAGAAAGTCAGAATGTCTTCTAAAATCAACTTTGAAAATTAACATAATGCTTACATACTTGACTGTATGCAATACTTACATACTAGAACAAAAGGGATGGGGAAAGGAAGACTCTGCCACACGCTGCCAGAAAGCTCTGTAAGTCTGTGAACAAAGTAGTTATTCTACACAAAGTGTCACTAGGACCTTTCTACAAATTTGTCCTGACTAACACAGAGGTTTATAAGGGAAAGTATATTCCTTGTCATATACTGGGTGGAGGGGGAGAAACACACCCCCACATTCCCCCACTTGCAAGTAAAATACACCCTTGTGAAGATCCTTTTCTAATCGGCCAACTACAGTGTATGCATTTATTGCCTTTATTTTCCATTTTCAGCGCTTGGACAATCAAACACTTAAAAGAAAACAAAACCAGACTGTTATTAAAAGCAACACAACTAGATCCGGAAACACTGATGAGTGCAATGGACAGACTAAGGACTACCCTCAGAGGAGACACAGTAAGCCTAAGAATCATCACATCTGCTCCCTGAATTACGAACAGCGAAAGAGGGGCGGTACAGGGGAGCCTGTGAACCTGCGGCACCATCAGATCCTTTTATTGTTCCTTCAATAACCAACATATGAACACCTCAATGTTATTCCATCTTAGGCCAAATTCAGGCCATATCCTCACCTATACAGATGTTTGCATGTTGCAGTGCTGGATGAATACCTGTTCTGCTGTTTTATTACTAGCTCATTGCACTTCTCAGCTTATACTCTAGCACGATAATTTGCAACCTATTACTCTGGGAGAGCTCACGTGGGGTTTTTTGTTACATTTATTTGTTTCTTTGTTACTTGGACCCTGTTTAAAAGAAATTGTACATCACAACCGAATGGGCAATGGCAGGGTAAAGTCCAAGTATGATGGCAGAGCTGTTAGTTACAAAAAGAAAAAAAAATTTTAGCATGTCAACAGAAGAGGATCTCTAGAGATTTTTGTAAACACCAGCATAATAAACCATTTAAAAAGTGCTCTTCAGAGATATTTGTATGCTCTTAAATGAAGCATATTAAGAAAAATTCAGTGAAGAGAATCCTTTTACAACATTCTAATTCTTCTTATTTGTTATACAGAAGACTTTTATAAATTGTTTGTACAACACAACTAGCCTGCATATCAAAAGAGCATAAATGACTGAAAAGAAAATAAATAAAAGGTGCTAATTTTTGTTTAAAATAAATGAATAAACAAACTCTTAAGAGCAGAATCAGATTTATGGTATCCTCTGCATGGACTGCTTCTTGACAAGCTCCTATGTATTGCAAGATTTTTTAGGCATACTTAAAAAATAAAACTGAGAGATGACCCTTAAATGCTTTCTGTAGACCACGGCCTTTCAAGAACTGTTTGAAAAGTGACTCAAAGATCAGTACAGCTTAAATGGTAAGCTTAAAACTAGCCCAAGCATCCCCCATTTGTCAAGAAGAATTACTACGGACATGTTTGCTAGTGTATAATTTGGATGAATAGATTTGTTGATTTTAACAGCTTGCAAGGGCAAGCATGTTAAAAAGTACATGCAGGACTTGGGCCTTAGCTTTAATCAAACTTATGATTTTCATTATCTGAAGCATTTCATATTTTACTTACAAAATATAATTTGGTGGAAATTAGATACTGAACTATTTAGAACAGAAAATCTACAAATCAATTTATGACTAGATCTGCAATCTGTTACTGACAGACCACCGTGCTGCTACATGCTCTAGAATATCTTTTTTTTAATCTTGCCTGTACCTAAATGAGATTAAAATTTGCTATCCACTTCAATTATCTAGGGAATATATTTCAATACTATCAATTTAACATTTTTCTTGGTCAAATAATCTTTTTTTTCTCCTTTAGTAAACTCCTTCCAAATTCTTGTGTTCGACAACAAAAGGGATGTCAAGGATTTGATTCATATTAATTATTTTTATATTCCTGGTCGTAACAGTTTCATTTCTTTCTACCCAGTTAACAAAAACCCACCTTAGAGTGTATAATACTCTTCCATCACTCCAGATTCGAAGCAAGCGATTTGGAGTTGTGATCCAGTGAGCATCAGACTTCCTTGAGTTCCGGAAGAAAGTGTCTGGAATCCAAATTTTTCCAACCATATTGCTATTAAGCATAAGCACCTTCATTGAGCTGTTAAATTTTAGACGACTGTCATACCAAGTCTGGGCAAAAATTATATCTATAGTGTATTCCTAAAAACAGAGAAACAACCATATCTATGTATATGTTTACCAAAGTCTGCAAGCCAACAATTTTTACTTCATATACAAATCTGAGGCCATTTCTTCTGTTCTCTTTTGTATTACCATTTGCATAGCACACAGCAGCCTGTAACCCAAACTGAAAAATTACAGGCTGACAAAAGATGCACACAGACTTCTGTCCCTGCCACATTTGCCCTGACACACACTAATTAAGGAAGAGGAGACGTGATGTGATCTTGCTGTAACCCAAACGTACCCGCACAGTGCAACCACCTCTGGGGGCTCTTCACAGAAATTTAAGGGAAACTTTAACACTTCAGGGCTAGACTATGCTTGTCAACACAGAGATTCTGCATCTCTTAAGAAGCAAACCATATAAACTTCATATATTTTTTCCCAAAATTTTACAACATGCAATTTAAGATCCTTTAAGAAATTTCAAATTTTGAAAAATTCGTGAATAGGCAGGAAGTAAACATCGCACTTCGCAGAACTATCTGTTACCGTCTGCCTCATATATCTACCTACATATGCACAAAAAGTATACATAATCATAATCAGGAAGCAAATTTCCCTAAAGCAACTCCACTTTTCTTATTAAAGCCTCAAGAAAACTCCTTTTGTGATAGGAAGTTGAATTCCTCAGTAGACTTGTGGCCAGAAAAGAAAGGTGAAAAATAAAATAAATAAAAGAAAACCCACAGCCTTTTAATGACACAATTCTTGACACGCTAAAACTTGGAAAGAAACATTACAGATGCAATGAAATAGTTTTTCAAAGAATCCAGCCAGTTGTTCCTGCACTCCAGACAAAGGTGCAAGCAGCAGCCTCTTTGTTGTATTTGTCATAGCTCCAGACCATGACTCTGACCTTAAGGATAACATTCTTTCTTGCACAGTTGCCCCATGAGGGCTCCAATGAGCAACTCAGCAGCATCTCTGCAGGGAAAAAGAGCTGGAGACCAGACTTAGACGCTTGGTGCTGGTTGTTCACCTCACAGTTACGGGATGAGTGGGCAGGGAGAAGAGAGGAGACAATGGTTCAAACTCTTGCGTGAGCCAAAGGGGTCACCGCTAGTTTACTTGGTCAATAAAAATGCACAGTGCAGACAGCCAATCTGTTTTAAAATAAAATAAAAGTGGAAGGCTTTGTCGGTTGGAGTGGGGGTTTTTTGTTCATTTTACTTTTAAATAATCGCAGCAGTCAACTGCATGATTTACAGACTCATCACTCATTTCTGCAGCTGATACCACCCATCTCCCAGGACGGTTTGTTTCTCATCCTTGAGAAGTGCCAAGGCAGATATTCCAGGACTACCTAAATCTCTCTCAATTTTCCCACTTCTCCAGGTGGGAGAAGAACAGGTTCAGGAAAACAGATATGCAAGAGGGAGGCTTGCCCTTGCTCTGTGAGGTATGGGAGACGAATTACCACCTGGACTGTGGTAACTCAGCGACTCTCAAAGGTTATGAATAACTGGTGTATGAGGAAAACAGTGGAGGGACAGAGGAAATAAAAGGACTAAACAAAAATGCATTTTAAAGATGACTTCTTTCTAAAACTCTGCTTATTCCTTGAGAGCCACTGCCAACAGGGAAAGATTCTGCAGGTCAAAATAAGTCCTTGATTATTTTACTTCTGTAAATACGTTCAAGACACCTGTGAAAACCCAGGGCCTGTTTTAACCTTAAAAATCAGCTTTCTGTGCTCATCTATAGTGTTACAATTGGAGAAGAAACTTGCCTTGCTGTAGTGTAAATGAGAGCCTGAGGCAGTGCACTGGGTAAGTGTTTTAATGGGCTTAAATGGAACAGAATGAACAAAGATTATGTGTTGCCTTTACAGTACAAACAAAAGGAAAAAAGAAGTCAGTGAGTGAAATCAACATACACGACCAAATGTATGAAAAGATCAGACTGTCTGAGTTTGAAGTTGCTGCTCTAAGCAGCCACTTCACTGTAGCATCGCATTGTCTGAGAAAAAGAAATTTATCAAAGTGTCATTACAGTCAAATTCACCCAGAGTAAGAAAACTCAGGTTGTCATAGAATACCAACCACCCTAACAAATTAAGATAAAAAAGGAAGAGAAGTTCACAGATTATTTTGAGCACACAAAGCAAAGGAACAGCCTCAGCGGACCCAGATGCTTATATTCTCTTACCTTTCAGTATTAAATGTGCAAGTTTTTATCATACCCTTATATTACAGGAGTTGTTTAAAGAACTTTTTTTGGGAAAAAAAAAATGGAACTTTGATAAAATCCTTCATGGTACATTTATCACTGTTCAAAAAGAATCTAATACATAATAGTTTAATATCATAAAATCAGTAACTACTTGTTTCCAAGTATCTTACTGAATGTATAACAAGAGATTCAATTGCTAGCATCTTGTCACATACCTGCAAAGGGTGGTGGTCCAATTGTAAACTGACACTTTAGCATGCAAACATCTCCCTCTCCCTCAGGAGTCAGCCAACCAAAGGTATAATCCTACTATTCATCCCACCTGAAAGATGTGGACTTACAGCCTCGAAGTGGGTGGCAGCAGCAATTCACCTCGCTCTTCAGCATGGACCCAAAGTCAGTACTCCCTGATTTCTCTCAAGAACATTTATTCCACTTCCAGCAGCTTTCTTGGTGGATATTACTACCGACTTCTTCAGCACATCTATTTGTCCTATGCCTCCCTGAGACCTCTTTCTCTTTGAGGGTCCATAATACATCCGGAGGCCGCATATATTCTTCACACAACGCATCTCACACGGGATCACATTTTCAACCTATTATATCTATACTATCTTTCACTCAAGTGAACTTTAGCATGTCTAAACACATACAGGTACTCACATTGTAGAGCTGCAAGGCATGTGAAAATGGCACTCAAACGTATATTAGCCTCCTTTCTCAATGCAAGTTTCCCCACAGAAGAGGCCAGGTAGTATAAGTCCAAACAGATTCCAAGTAGTCACCAAGCACAGACAAACATATAGGATAATCAGACAACTGACAGTCTGGCAGCATGCAGCTGTGGCAGTACAGATGCTTGAGAGCAATAACCTGGAAGAGAAACTATGCTAGGGGGATTATCAAGAAAGTTGGATTCTTTCTGAAAATCTAGTTTTGAAATGGGCCTGAATTTTTCAGATTTTATGGACTCGTACACTGAATTCCCTTAACTTTGCATCTCCTGAAAAGTATTTTATATTTCCTTTTAAGAAATGGAAATCTGGGTCCCTAAAATTTCCTGAAAATGAGACAGAAAAATCACTACACTGTCTTTTCTGGGGGTACTTTGTTTCCAAAACTAAATGAACAAAACCCCTATCTTTGCTTAGACATTGTATGAGCAAGTACAAGAGCAGCCAAATTTATACAATAAACTTTTAGTACAACAAACCTTTCTGAGCAACTATTTTGTTTACCTTGTTTTCTTATAAAAAGTTAAAATTAACACTTATCACTACTTATATTAGTCTTTCAGAAAATCCACCTTTCAATGCCACTGTGTAACCATAAATATCGGTTTACTACTCTCTCTTTCAAATGAAACTAATGATAAAACAGCCATGCAGAATAAAATGTAATCAATCTATGACTGTGTTAGTCACAGTCATAGCAAAATGCATGCCTATTCATATTTACCCTAGCAAAGTTCAATAACCATGGCACACATTAGCTCATATTTGGCATTTGATTAGATCACTGAACTCTTTTTTTTGCACAGCTGGCATAAAGAGCCCACCTGCCTAATTATTTACAGATAACTGCAATCCTCTTCCATCTCATTCCTCTCTGAAAGATTGTAACATACTCCAAAGCCTGAGAACACAGTGACTAATCGTAGATTACCATTAAGGGGCCAGGCAGTGAATGAACTGTGAATATTGACAAGCAGGTGTATAGTCTGAGAGAAAATCATTTAATAAATAAAAGCAATTACTTCAAATAAAGTAGGAACAGCTACTGTATGGGAATAAATGGAATCCTCGACATCAGTTTCATTGTCATGCAGAGTTCAATTACAGTCAGACACGAAAACAGGCCAGTGGATTAGGGATTTTTATTGGAAAGCTGTGAAAGAAAGGGAGGCAGATACCATCCTACATAATTGTTTCTCAGTGCAAACTGCATCAAACAAATTCCAATGTAGTATCAATAAGGACATAAAAAGTCTCACAAAGCAGAAAAACATTTTTCTTAGATATTTTGTCTGGCAGTCTCACAACTGATTTGGTATTCCACAGTAAAAAATGTGGAGAAGTCAAACAATGAATAGTTAAATTGTTGGCTGGACTATGCTAACTGCAACACATTTTGTTTGAGAATAGGAAAAAAGTGGCCTAGTTTTCTGGAGCCAAACACAAAAGCAATGAAAACCAAACTCAGAACTGAAAAACCATGTTATCAAACTACAGGTCTGCAATACTATTCATTATGAGTGGATTTCAGAGAAAAATAAAATAAAAACATATTCCTGTCATTTCATCTTTGCTCAGAAACACATCCCAGCTTTTCTCCCACATTCAAAACTTCGCCTGAAGGGCACTGGGAGTTTTCTGGAGTGCAACAAGCTAATTCAGAAATCTGTTTCCTAGGGAGTCCCTGAACTCAGTTCAATTATCAAATGTGACATGACTTCATGTTATCCAGTTACCTGAGCTTCAAGATATTTTCCCCATGTTTCTTCATTCTATCCAGTTTTCCATTTCCTTAAACTGGAACTCAAAATGAGGGAGGCAAGGAATTTCTCAGGAAAAAAGAAATAAGAAGGGGAAACTAAAGAAAGCATTCTACCAATATATATGTTTTGACATTAAGAGATGTGATATGATTAGTATGCTGAGCAAGAAATTTAAACAACAAAGAAAGTCATAGACAAAACTGGTCACCACATGCTTTCCTAAGAGGTAAGCATCAAATAAAACACCAAGCATTAGCCAATTTATCTTCATCTTGACAGTGTGCTGCCAATAAATATTTGTAAC